GATCTGGTTATCATAATTAGGGGGAAGTACGAAGAGGTGATCTCCATCCTTCAACTGTCTGTTAATCCCCGTAAAACTGCTATTGTCAAACTGAAATATCTGGGGTTTATCCTAGATAAGAAATTTACCTGGAACCCCCAATTGGATGAAACCATCAATGAAACCATCTGGACCCTCAGAAGGACATGCGGCAAAACTTTGAGGATAAACTGAACTACTGGATTTACCAGTGATTAAACTCATGAATACGTACGACAGCTCCGTCGTCTGATGAGACAAGGGAAATCAATGAAAGGCTAGAGCAAATCTGGCTGGAATCCAGCAGCTTGAGTGCTTCGCCATCACTGGGGCAATATCAACAACACCGACGGGACCCATGGAGACCATATTGAACCTAACCTCTCTTCACATTTTACTGAAAAGGGAGACCAAGATGGTCTCCTACAAACTCCAGAAGGTGGGTAGTCAATGCAACGAAGAACTTAATAACCACCACAACCTCAGCAGATAGCATCTTCATTTCAGAGAGAGACGTATGGATCAGGGGGATAAAAACCTCTCGCAGACGGACTATGCGTTGTACACGAACGGCTCCAAAACTGAAAAAGGAGTAGGAGTGGGAGTTTTCGGCCAGAAGCCAAGAGTTGCCATATCTATAAAGCTAGTCTTTTTTACCACAATCTTCCAAGCAAAAATGATATAGAAATGGAAGCGTGAGAGTAGATTTATTTTCTCCTCGCAAACAAGACTATAAAGAGTGTCTCGGTACCCAGCACAAAGTTACTTTGATCTGGGTTCCGAGACAGCGATGTGAAGGGCAATGAAAAAGCCGACGACTCGCTAATATGCAGAGCACATCTTATGTACTTGCCCCGCTTTGGAAATAACCAGGTTCCAGATCTTCGGATCCTATTTTACCATGGCCTTCATCAAAAGGTGTGGCAAGTACGGTATGAGATGAGATATGAGCAATAATAACCCACGTGGGTCGCAGTAGAAGGCGATGAGATCATCCCACTCATTTTCAACCCAACTTGACCTACTCATGACTAAAATTTATATTGAAAAATTGAAGAAAACATTTTTGAATGTTGACAGGCCAATATTATTATGGAACGTACTTGTTTACTTATTTATGTTATTAGTGTACCATGCATATACTGCTGTATCATCTAGGAACAGTTATAAACATCGAATTTTCAGGAAAACAAGAAACATGAAAGAAAGCCAAGAAATTTATTTATTTTTTCTCACATTTTGGATTGCCAAAATTAGTTTACCTTTATCTAAACAGACGAGGCAAAAATAAAAACTTTTAATTTTATCATTTGTTTTGTACTTAATATAATTTAAAAACGTGTGTAGTAATTTTAACTCCCACATTCAACTTAAATCTTGCTCACGGACTAAAAAAAAAAGAAACCCGGGAGTTCGTAGTTGAAATTAGCCGTAAGTCAACTCGGGCAGTGTTGTTGTGTTCTGTAATTCGTATTTATATACCCGCTCCGAAGTGCCGAAATACTTTGCATAAGTACTGTCTCTCTGTTTTGTTTCTTCGCGGTATTTACGATGGCCCGCCGCCGCGGCGCTCATGCATTAGCCCTCGAAAAGTTGTCGGTTTGTTCGTTGCGATGCTAAGAACGCCAAATTGGATTTTACAAAAGAAAACAGGTTTAAGGAAATCGTTAATGGTTTGTACAACAAGAGGAAAAATGCTGACGGCTCGTTCGTGTGTAAAGGGCGGTCGGAAAATCCAAACGAACCTCTAGAGGTGATAAGCTCGAAGAAAATTGGCCATTAGAGAGTGAATAAAACTGACAGTAGCTTATTTTTTAGGGTCAATCTGATTTTGAACGGGTTAATGGCTTCGCATGTCATCGATGACAGATGTGGGTTTCATCTGGACGTGGGATAACAAGAACACCCTAATGATTAACATGATTATTTTCATCGAACTTTTGAGTACTAAGACTCGAGCTAGAATTTACTAAATAAAATATTGGCAGAATTAAATGAAATAGGTCTAAAAATATTAATAATCATCATTATTTTGTATACAAAAAATATAAAAACTTAATAATACAATACAATTTTGCGAGTGTTTTTCTTTTATCGGTTATAGTGGGTAAAAAGTTTCGTGCAGATTAAACTACAGTTAATTGAAAACTCCAGAGAGTTAGCATTATTGCGAGTAGAAAACGAATAAAATCAACGTTGCCAGTTTAAACGGCCTGGCTGCGTGGTTATATCTCTCGTTTTGAAGCACAATTTACTTGCGACTGTCAACGTAAATTTTATTTTCCTGTCATAGATTTTGACAGCCTGATTTTGACAATTTTAATATATTGGGTGTTACAATTTTAGTCTCATTCATTTCATATCTTAAATTTTTTATTACTTTTAATACTGATTCTGATTGTTCTAGATATATGAAGTGCCAGAATTAAAGAACTTCTGCAATCATTACCATACAATATTATTGAGAAACAAAGAGTAATTTCTACCTTTGATGAAGCTTATTGTGTTTTCTTTTTGCCATAAATTGTATTTGGTCAAATGATTCTTAAGGTAACAATTTTTTTCTTTCCATTTTACACTTTATTATGATGTTTATTTTAATTATATTTAATTAATATCTAATTCAGAGCTATAGCTTAAATTTTATTAACTTCTAGGTACTAACTTATTACCTCCCACCGTACTCATTAAATCACGAATCAGAAATAGTTATTATCCCGCCTGAGGTAGATACGCAAATGGATGAAGAAGACGTCGATGACAATGATACGGGAATTGTCACTTTTCCCAGAGATGTTCCTGTGAGAAAAGGAGCTTAAAGGAAACTGGACCAAACTTTACACAGATATAAGTATGAATAAAAACAGTACTGGCTACGAGGAGAGGCTGAAAAATGTTATTGAAGATGAGAAAGATATTAGCCCCGTTGAAACTTTCGAAAAATTTTTTGATGATAAGCTACTAAAATTGATTGTTGAGCAAACAAATCTTTATGCTTCACAAAAAAATAATCACAACTTATCAGTAAGCGAGTCAGACTTAAAAATGTTTGTGAGAATTCTACTTCTTTCTGGCTACCATAGATTACCCCGTGAGCCCATGTATTGGAGCGTTGACGAAGATGTTTACACTTTGCTGATACTAAGCTCGATACCTCCGATAAAATGTATAAATTGCGCCCTCTAATGAACATGCTCAATACTAGTTTTCGCCAGTGGGGGATTTTCCACCAAAACCTTTCAATTGATGAAGCAATAGTGAAATATTTTGGACACCACTCTGGGAAACAATTTATAAAAGGTAAACCGGAGCTAAGCAAAAGAATGACAATACAGATATAAGTTTACCACTGGGCTTCAAAATCGATATGAACTTTAGGGCAACTGGCACTGAACGTGAAAATCGGACTAAAAAATGTCCTTTATCATCAGTTAATGAAATGTAAAAAATGGAACGTGGTACTTTTCAACAAGTTTACGAAGAGAAATACAAGTTATTATTTGTACGCTGGAAGGACAATAACATTGTATCTATGGTAACAAATCATGATACTATAGAGCACATTTAGGAAAAGTTAAAAGTTGGTCTTCGGCTGAAAAACAAAAAATTAATATGGCTCAGCCCTACTTGTTTGCTAGCTACAATACTTCCATGGGTGGAGTTGACCTGCTAGATCAAGCAGTGAATAATTATAGAATATCTATCCGTGGGAAAAAATAAATGTCGCAGTCGTAAATGCATGGCGAGTTCATCTATTGGCTCACAATAATAAAATGGACTTACTAAGTTTTGTCAGGAATGTTGCTCGTCACTACATCAAAGTTTTTGGGAAAGCAAATTTTCAAAAAGGCGATGGTGTGGGTCATTTTCCAAAAAAAACTTGAGAAGCTACTAAGGTACCGACAATGTCATTTACGAGCGAGATGGTGTTGTCTAAAGTGTAATGTTACCTTATGTATTGAACGCGATTGTTTCATTTCTTTTCATATAAAAGATTAATTATCTATCAAATTTGTAAACATAAAAATATAAAAACTTTTTGTACTAGTAAGAAATTTAATTTTTTTTTCACACTTCTTCCCATTGTACTCATTTGAGTACACCCCTTTTTTCAAAAAATAAAAAAATATATAGAAGATGTAAAAATCTATATGTTATAACTATAGCCAAAATTCGCCAAATGGTGCAAAAAAAAGTAATAAAAACGGGAAAAAAATGTCGTCGGAGATAATGGGTTGAGACTATTTCTTATGAGTCCTTATGTTCCTACTACAAAATTATCTTTTTCTACACCCGTATTATAATAATGCACTTATATGCCCATAATCCGTTTCATAATGATACCCATTATGATACAGATTTTTAATCAATAGAAACCTACAATTTTTCAATCAAGCATGATGTTTGACGTTTGTCCTAAATTCCTATGTAATTGTTTTAGTTGTCAAAACGTATTCAATTTTCGTAGATAGCTAAACTTCGATAATTATAATATTAAAATGTCTGATATCAGCGATATAGAACACTCCTCCACACATATAGGAGAAAGGAGAAAATGCAGTACAAAATATTTTGCCCCAAAAATCTGTGGTAATACCAGTACCCAAGGTAATACCATTAATTACAATTTTGTAGAATTTTTTATAGAAATACGAGTAATTACTGTTATTGTGTTCAATACCAATATAAATAGAATATTTATAGGTCTTGATTATTTATCGGGTGTAGAAAAAATAGCGTATGCAACTCTCATGTAATGGTTATTAAAACACTCGCATAAACCATACGAAACTCGCCTTTGGCTCGTTTCGTATCCCGGTTAATGCTCGTGTATTAATAACCATCATTACATGATCGTTGCATAATATACTATTTCTATAGCTCTTGTTAATTGTTTTTAATTAAATATTAAGTTGTATTCCATAATATATTTAGGCTTAATGCATGTTTGGAATAAATAAATAAATAAAATCAAAACTCACCATAGAATCTCTGACCGCCACCAGCTTATCACCAACGAGCAACCTGCCGTCAACTTGAGCGGCGCCACCGTCCATGACTTTGGTGACGTAGATGCCGTTATCGCCGGGGATGTGTTGGTTGCCTATACCCCCGGCGATGCTGAATCCGAGACCTTTGTTGCCCTTTACCAACTCGATCTCCATGAGGCGCATGTTGCGAGGTTGCCGTCTCCTTCGTACGCACTGAAATAACAAACATTTTATATTATGTGATATATTTTAAGTAAAGATCAGAAGAAAAGTAATACATTTTATTCCGCACCTATTTGTTTTGAACTGCTTCAAAATTATTTACTTTTCAGAATTACTTCAATTTTATAAAATAGAGTAGTTAAAAAAAAAATGGCGTAAATGATAAAACATAATATGTCGTGAAACCTTCCACTTTTGTGTTTAAAAAATATTTCCCATTACTTTGAAATTAGTATACACGTTTTTATCTGCACCCCCTGTAATTTGTAGGCGATATTAGTCCATTGAACGGATATAAACAAGACATTTCTATAGCTCACTCCTCATATTTAAGATCAATTGAAAATAATATTAAAAATGATCCAAAACAATTCTGGTCATACTTAAATTCTAAAAATTCTTCCTATTCCATACCCACTACTGTTGAATATAATAATGACTGTATAGAAGATCCACAGGCAATTGTTGAAGCTTTTGCAGATCACTTTTCAAGCAATTTCTCCAAGCCAACTCAAATAAATCACTTTATTAACGAATCTACCATTAATTTACCTTTGCTTCACTTTAATTCTGTATCTCAAGATGATGTTATTAGAGTCCTAAAAAAGCTTAAGCCCAATATGTCAAATGCGTCTTGTCAGAGACTGGGCACTAATTTTGGCCACTCCGTTGAAACATATTTTTGATTTCATTTTGAAAACATGTATTTTCCCTACTGCCTGGAAAATTTCCAGAATTACTACGGTACATAAAAAAGGTAGCAAAAATGATGTTTGTAATTATCGGCCCATAACCATTCTTTGAAATTTTGCTAAAGTATTCGAAATAATTACTCATGATCGTATTTCCAATCATGTTTCCCGTCTTATATCTTGTGACCAACATGGATTCATGAGAAATAGATTTACAGTAGTTACAAATCTTGTATGTTCGACGCAATTCATTTCTGAAGGAAAAGTCAAGTTGCTCCACAAGTTAAGTTCCATTGGTTTATGCGATCAAATCATTTAATTAATTGCCTCGTATTTGTTGGGTAGGTATCATTATGCTCAATGTCGTGGTTACAGGTTAAAAAACTTCGAACAAACATCAGGAGTTCCGCAAGGATCAATTTTAGGTCCCCTTTTATTTATAATTTTTATAAATGAGACAGTCGCTAATATCGATCATATTAAAGTTTTAATGTATGCCGACGACTTAAATTATTGCTTGAAATCAATTATGTTAACCACTGCTTACGACTTCAAAAGTTTGTCCGACATTGCGAAATGGTGTCTCGATAATTCAATCCCTCTAAATCCTGAAAAATGTTTTTATTATTATTATTATTTATTATTATTATTACAGAGGACGGTGTCCTATTATGTCCAGTAAAAAAAGTAGCAAATTAATTATCCTAAAAACTATTAAATCAAGAAAAGATTTTAAAATAAATCTAAAGACTAAATACAAGTATAGTTCCAAAATTAAATCCGAAAATGAGCTACATGCAAATGTAAGTTCGAACATTGTTCAGGTGGTAAATCCAAAAATGTATCATAATTATGAATTGTGAAAAATATGCTTGTCTATATTGTTTTTTTAAATATCGACACTTTGGGAATCTATAATTTCTTGAGGCAGGTTGTTCCAGACTTCGAAGATTCTGTTACTCAGAAAATGTTGTCTCGTTCTTGTTTTGAAGTTTTCTTTCTGTAGTTTTAGCGAATGTCCACGAAGTCTGGAGTCAGTATTTAGAAGAAAATCTTGATTGTTCCGTAATGTCCTTTAATAAAAAAGTAACATTTTTAGATTTATCAAAGTATACAAGGTAACCATAAAACCCTTTTTTAAGACACTGATAAATAGAGCTAAGAATATATGCAAAACGCCATATTTTGCATATGTTGCATATATATACAATTTTTGATTTTGAATGCATATATTGGACCAAAATAATATTTTGTGAAATGCCTTTACAGGTCGATTTTCTAAAATTTTGAAGGATTAACTTTTCCCTGTAATAAATTACGGTTAATGGTGTAGGTACTTGAGAGGATTAAATTATAAACACCTTCCTTAAACCAACAAATTTTGCTAAATATCCTGTGAGGTAGTTGTATTAATATCTTCAAATTTCTAAATGACTCAGTTTACTTTCAACTTCATTTCAGTCTTTATTGTTGTGTTGTGTTAACCAGTGGGAAAAATGGCAAAATTAATTGAGTCGTGGGTAAAATCTTATTCAGATTTTGTTGTAGAAGGTGATAACCAGGTGTTTTGTAAAACATGTTCTACAATTGTAAGTACTTTTTTATTTTATATTTTATTTTGACCTTTCACAATGGTAAATCAAACGACAGTAAAATATTATTTCAACTCACAGTTAAAAAAAAAGTAGGGCAATTTTACAACGTACGCATTTATTTAATTTAATTAAAACTTCAACATCTACAGGAATTTATTTGTTTTAGATTCCATGTAAAAAAAAGTTTCAAATCGACCAACACGCGAAAACACCCTCACATATAGCAAAGCAGAAATCTAAAGACACTCGCAGACAGAACAAGCTATTTTTAATGAAGATTTATGCAAAGCTTTAGTGACTTCGAATATCCCTTTAATACGATTAAATAATCCAAATCTCCGATCATTTTTGCAAAAATACTGTAAATTTAATATTCCAGAGCAAAGTATATTACGCAAACGTGGTGTTGACAGTTTGTACATTGAGACTCGTGAAAAAATTCGTGAGATTACCGTTGGAAACCATTTCTACATTATTGTGGATGAAACAACAGACTCTTGTGGTCGATATATAGCCCATTTAATGATAGGTTCATTACGATAAATGCAAATTGGTCCATATCTAATCGCTTCAAAGCAAATAGATAAAACAAATAACTTGACAATAACTCGTTTTATCCAGACAGAATTGTCTTCCTTTTTTCTTCCGGAAGCCGTTCCAACAGAAAAATGTTTATTGCTGTTATCCGATGCTGCCCCATACATGGTAAAAGCCGCACAAAATTTAAAAATTTTATATGAAAACTTAATCCATGTTACATGTTTGGCTCATGGCCTTAGCAGAGTTGCAGAAGAAATTAGGTCTAACTTTCCTTTAATAAATAATTTAATTAGTAATGTAAAAAAATATTTCTTAAAGCTCCTCTAAGAACTCAATTGTACAAAGAAAAATTTCCTGAATTGCAGATGCCACCGGAACCTGTGATTACTCGGTGGGGTACCTGGCTTAAAGCTGCCTTTTTTTACGCAGATAATTATGAAAAAATTAAAGGCAATCATATTTGATTTTGATGATTCATCTAAGGGAATATCTAATACAAAGAAGTTGTTTCAAAATCACATATTACCAAAGCAATTAGTGTTTTTAAAAAATTATGCATTTGTACCCAAAATTATATTAGATTTAGAACAAAAAAATTTACCTTTGGTGACTTCCGTAAATTTAATTAAGACGTTTGAATCAGAGTGTAAAAATGTCCAGGGCGATATTGGAAAGACGATTTTTCATAAATTTTCAAATGTAATTTTAAAAAATGAAGGATTTATTGTTTTAAGAAACCTTGCTAATATTTATTCTGGTAACTTTGAAGATATTAATACTATTCATCCAGATATTTCAGGAAAATTTAAGTTTGCACCTATTACTTCTGTAGGTGTCGAAAGGAGTTTTTCTTTGTACAAGTACATACTTACTGATAGGAGACAATCATTTAATACAGATAATTTAGAAAAACATCTAATTGTTCATTAGTTAATAATTAAATAACTATTAAGTATTATGTTAGGTATTGTAAAATAAAACAAATAATAAATATTAATAAACTATTTCGATCAAATAACAAATTACTCTTATTGCATATGCTCTGCATATTTTTCAATTTTTTACGCATATATTGAAGTATTTTGCGGTATATATATGCGCATATTTAACTACTTTTTGGATGCATATATTCCTAGGTCTACTGATAAAACTTTTGAATCCGCGAGGTAGTCTTAGGGTTGCTATAAATCTGCTTTAAGAGTAAAAGAAAGAATCCTGTAACGGTTCTTAGGAGTATTTTTAAAACAATATCTTAAAACTAATTAGACTTAAGACAAAGTTCGTAAGAGTATATTAAGAATTTTATTAAACCATTTTTAAATCTTTTTTAAGATTATGATAATAAGTGGAATAGGTACAAAAACTTTACAAAACTAATCAGTTTTAATGTTGTCATTGGTACACTGTTGTCATTGACACACTATCACTGTCTTTGGTACACAAAATACGTCATTACTAAAATCGAAAGATTTTAGAATTATTTGAACTTTGACCATAATTTATTTGAATATCCTGTAGCTACAGGTCTGGTAGACAGGTACTATTTTACATGATATGTGGTTAAACATTGTGTTCTATCTGTACCTAAAAACGGGCATAGGCTTATAAAACTAATAAAGCAAAAAAAAACTTTTTAGGACTTTCTAGTTTTAAAAAGCTCCTGCTACACTTTTTAAAGCGTTTCATAAAACAATAGTAAAAACGACGGGCATAACCTAACCTCACTCTTGAGCTTCTTATTTACTCTACGAACAAGTCATTCAAAATATAAAAATTAGTAATAATATATTAACCATTTTTCTCTTTCACTGATCATTTTCAGAATATTAGGAGCCTAGTAATGTTTTGATATTTGGAACACAATGAACTTATTAAACACAGGAGAAGGAGAAACATATATTTTTTTCATTCTCTATGGAAATAACCACTTTTCTTTATTTTGAACAATATATCTTTCAACGTCAACATAATGTGATTGGGTTGAAAAGCTCTAAAACAAACTTTAGTTCTTATTAAAACTAATAGTTTTAAAAGAGCCCTATGGTTTACTAGTTATGTTGTAAAATTGTAGAAAATGTACCTAAAATGTTCTGAGATCAATTTAATTTAAAGTTATAATCCTAAAACACTTTTTAAAACTAAGTTTTAAAATCTACTTAAGATA